GGGGTCGGAAGTGGTTTTTTGTCTAAGACTGAGCCATTGTTTTTGATGTTTAATATTCGCATAGAAAACCAATTTTTCATCATTGGTGACAATTCTGTCCAAAAATGGTTCACGCGCATTACGCGCCAGAAGAGACGAAGCAATGTTCACACGTTGGAAACGATGATCACCGGAGAGTTTGTGAGGCACCCAAACACCATCTTTATTGAGTTTTCCCATATTCCTTATATGTTTACGTATTGTTTCATGAGAAACATGCAATTTCAGGGCCATTTCATGAGTGTGTTGCCTTGGGTTAGATCCAACAAGCGTCTTAAGAGCATCAATATCAATTCCAATTATGATGTTAGAAAAACAAGTAGGTTCAAGAAGTCTTGATAGAAATAAATAAAAAACCTATAACTCGAGCGCTTAAGAAAGGTCCACCTTTCGAAGGCGCTCGGGTTATAGGATATTTATTCATTAATATCAATTCTAACATGTCTGCCCCTGCCATTATAGTTTTCAAGGCTAAAATCACCTGAACGAAATTTGCTGAACCATTGTTGACACTTACGAACGTTCAAAAGATTTCCATAAACTTCTTTGATATTCTTTGTGGCTACAGAGGCGTTGTTTCCCTTCTTGTATTTAAAGAGCAATTATATGCGGAATGTATGTCTCGTCGTGTGCCATCACTATATGGGATTAGAGTGTACTAAACTTTAAACGTGACATTTAGGCGGTTCGTTTAATTATTATACGTGATGTACGTTTTTTGGGGGGTGGTTAATGAAAATGTTCCAAAACGCGACATTAATTTATTGACGACCTAATATTACGAATTAATAATTTTCAGTCTGTCATTTAGTTAGCGGTCGAAGTTTGTCCAAGAAACAAAACATAAATCAGATTGTATTGTATTGTCCGTAGATTACCACTGTTCCATTGGGGGACAAGTGTAAATCATTGGCGACACATTGATAGGACGAAGAACGTTTTATTTACAGGGGTCAAACATTTCGGAATAGACTTTTCCATTATCAGCGAAGTCTGAAAACAAGTGTAAAAACGTTATATCTAAAATGACGCAACTAATTTAATCTTGAAAATAACAGGAATAAAGCTGTCACAATGATTTAGAGGCTGGACAAATATTTTTTATGATACATAGAAGTAGAAAAATCATTACCTTCTTGAGTCATCCTGACATCCAGTAAAGGTATTTTTTTTCTTTTAAGTTCAAGAGTGAAATTAATCTTGGGGTGCTGAGAGTTTAAATATGCTGGAAGTTAGGAACATGGTTAGCAGAACGAAACTGTAAAATTGTGTCATCAATCTGGCACTGGTTTGAAATCAGACGATCGGTTGTCTAACCTAATGTTCTAGCGGTGAAGGAAAAACTATTGGCTAAGGTTGGTTTTAATTTATTTCGTGGTCTATGTGTTCCAAAGAGATGCTTATATCTTCTCAATATATTATTAACTTTATGTTCACAAATATCATTCGAATTTTACTTCATTTATACTAATATTTTCATACACCTTGTTCTCAAACTTACTGAATAAGTATTCAGAAACACTCGAATCGTGCAAATAAAATGTTTTCATCCTAAGAACTGTGTTAAGGTACTTGCCACTTGGAGTTACCTAAATGTTATGAACATTTTACAAAGAAAGTCTAACTGACCACAAAAAATTGATAGAATTTGTTTGTTTATTTCGAATTTCGCGCAGAGCTTCTCCAGCTATCCGTCTATAAATTTAAAGTGATAGAGTAGAGGGAAGGTAGCTAGTAAATAACATCCACCGCCAAATGTTGGGCTACATTTTACTAACGAATAGTGGGATTGGCAGTCACATTGTAACGCACCCATGACAATGTTCGGGGATGGGATTCGAACCCGTGAACTTCAGATTGCAAGTCGAATTAATTACCTGGACAACATAATAGAGAGCTACTTGTGCCCTTAATCACCAGGATAACATAATAAAGACCTGCTTGTTCCCTTAATCACCAGGATAACATTATAAAGACCTGCTTGTGCCCTTAATCACCAGATAACATAATAAAGACCTGCTTGTGCCCTTAATCACCAGGACAACATGATAGAGAGCTGCTTGTGCCCTTAATCACCAGGACAACATGCTAGAGAACTGCTTGTGCCCTTATTCACTAAAACAAATAATAGAGAGCTTCTTGTTCCCTTAATCACCAAAACAACATGCTAGAGAACTGCTTGTTTCCTTAATCACCAGGACAACATAATAGAGAGCTGCTTGTGCCCTTAGTTACCAAAATAACATAATAGAGAGCTGCTTGTGCCTTTAATCACCAGGACAACATGATAGAGAGCTGCTTGTGCCTTTAGTTACCAAAATAACATAATAGAGATCCGCTTGTGCCCTTAATCACCAGGACAACATAATAGAGAACTGGTTGTGCTCTTAATCACCAGGACAACATAATATAGAGCTGACTGTTCCCTTAATCACCAGGACAACATAATATAGAACTGGTTGTGCCCTTAATCATCAGGACAACATGATAGAGAACTGGTTGAGGACAGATAATGTTTTTTCCTATAAGAGTCACATGAAATTGAAACTTCATAAATACCTCCTTTCCTATAATTATACATACTAGCGGTTGTTTGTGCTAGTAATAAATAATCGTAGTACCATTACCTCATTGAAAAAAATTAGAAAAAGTGAATATTTTCTAAGAAATGGATTTTTCTGAGAAGTATTGCACGGGAAACCTGTTCGGTTTATGCTGATATAAACTGTAATGTTTTTATAAATTAAAATTGGTACCCTTTATTGAAAACAAATCCAGTTTTTAAAGAACTATAGTTTTAGTACTATATTTACAATTTACATCAATAAAGATATAATCAGACTCTCACGTACAGTCGCAGTAAAAGTCGTGTTGTTATTGTGAAGAGAGTACTTTTATTTAAACTTGTGTTCTGTGATAAACAAATGTTTCCCATACCGTAGTTAAGTTTCTGTCCGAATCTTGAATACCTAAAGTATGAAATGGTTTTATGGAGCTTTGTTTGTGGTGCTATTCGATAGATGGCGTCACATTATTTCTGTAAAATGTCAATAATTACAAGATTTATATAACTTTTTGTTTTAATTTGACCTAAAGGTTGAGAAGTGTCAATCCCATTAAACTTTGATATTTACTGGAGTTATGTAGCTAATACAAAATACCCAAGCGGGCGACCCCAAATCTTGGTGGGATTAAGGTCGTATGAAGAAAAAGAAATGCAACTATATATATATTTCAAACTGGATTTTTTATTATTGTGAACCGTTAATGATTAATGAAAGGTTATCTCATGACATGAAAAGCTGCTTCTCTTATATGTAATTGTAAAAAACACAAAACGCTCATAAAAATTGCAAAACACAAAAATGTGAAACCTCAAATTTGCATGTATCTCCACATGGACCCAATGAACCTCCATACCAAATTTGGTGAAAATCCATCTAAACCCTGCAAAGTAGTTACATGGACATACAACAGACATTACTATTATATTCATATAGATTTATATGTACGTTAGATGTATATGCAGGTACATGTATATGCTATGATATTTATGTAAAACGTGCAAGATAGCATTTAAAACATATGCTGCACACACACACACAAACACATCTGCATAATCATTAAAGAGAAAAGTAATCCTATTTGGATGAAATAAATCAATTCTAT